CGAAGACTTCCCGTAGTAAATGGTGAATGGTGCACGTTAAATCTGTCGGGTCACAATGCCCTCCATGTTTGTATGTAAAAAAAATTATACCTATGAGGTACTGAATTGGAGATAAATCATTCTCTGGTTCATGTCAAAATTACGACCTGCGGATGAATAGATATTGTGTGAATGTGTCCTCCCTGTAAAAAGGGATGTAACATATGCATGTTATCTCCAGATCATCCTCAGAAATATATCTTAGACCGTCGCCAATAACTCATTGTGCAGCTCTACCGCGACATTAATGAAAGTAACAAAATACCTGTCGATGACCTCCTGAATTGTAGTTTTCACCTTATCATTTGTTTCGGAGTTATTTCTGTATACATTATGTTTTATTTAGCCCCACAAAAAGGATTCACATGAGATCAGATCAGGAGAACATGGGGGTGAAGCGAGTCCTGGTGGCCTTTAAGTACCCCAGCGTCACAATGCGGTCCCCCAAAGTGCTTCTCCAGGACGTCAAACACTCTCTTTGCCCGATGCAACCGTTCAGAAGATCCGATGCAACCGCAACCATTCGATCACCTGAACCGTTCATTAAGTTTTGACGGTTTATTTCATTTAGTTGAATAATTGTCACCCTGTTAGACTTCATTGGTTTCCAAGAAACAAGTTTTCGTAAGGGTGGCAACAATCAGGGGGGAATTAAGTAATATATTGAAAATATTACTATAGACTTAATTTTGCTAAGTAAAAAATTTTGACCTGAGTAGTTAAGAGAGCTAAAGTTCACAGCTACTGTTGTTTTATATTTTTTACAAGAAATATTATGTTTACTTTATTAATCATGCAACATATATAAACAAGGGCTCAGTGTTCGCCATCCAATGAGAAGAACCAGATTCGAATCTAAGCGATGGCGTCGATACAAATTCCGCATCCGGCTTGTACCGACCACAAGAGTAGGAGAATTTTATTACAGAGTTTTCAGGTACCATTTATAATAACATAACAAAGAATCTTTGTCATAATATATCCTGGGTATTAATTTTTTCGAACGCATAAGAACAGAGCTGATTAAACGTCTTTCTAAAAAAGATTATAAATATACAGTTAAAAGAGCCAAAAACATTATAATGGGATAGCTGCAAGTGGCACGTGCTGAAACGTGGCATTTATGTTAGCAACTGTTCTTTCCATTCTATTTCGAGTAAGCCAAGCCCGTCAAGTATCAATTCTCTTAAGTGATACATTATGAATTCGTTCAGAAAGATTCTTTCTCAAAGATTTCAATTCTTTCACTATATATTTACACAAGACATAACACAAAGACAGGTACGAAACCACGTGGAACATAAATAAACTAATTATCTATCGGAGTTGCCAGGTACACAAAACAAAAATATATTACGGTTACAATAAAACACATAAATAATTAATAAATCTAAGTTAATTAAAAGAAGTAGACGGGACAGAATTATATTTCAACAAATTCGATGTGCGATGCGACTGTGTATTTAATTTACTTATCATTAATTAACATTCTAACTTACGTAGAAAGACTTAGCTCATACGTCATTTTGCTGATAAAGATTAGGTGGAGCTGATAGGTCACATGTGCGGGAGGTCTTCTTCTTCTTGTACCCAATTTAAAAAAGTTAATGATTTCCGAACATTTGTAAACCATTAAATTTAATTTGAAAAAAAAATTGTGCTTTAAAATGTATATTTATCTCTCTTAATATCTCGTAATCTGTGCCGGATTTTAATTATTTCTGTTTCTACCATTCCTGTCTTTTATCCGACTGATGAAGGTACACCATTGCGACATCGAAACGGATAAAGGTTTTTAATAAATGTATTATTATTTGTAATTTTAAAACGTTGGTTTTAATGAAATTTAATTTCCTCACAAAGAACTATCATCGTAATTCTATAAATCACTTTTGCAACCACATGGAAATATATATATATATTTTTCAAATTACAGAAATTCTGTCGTTGTTGGTGGATATGAATATTGTCTTTTGTATTCTGAGTACTTTATGCTCTTCAAACCTGACATGGCACGTCCCAAGCACTACCGGGGAATTATTTTAAAGTGAAACTTATGAAAATATATATGCTCTCGTGAATGACCGAAATCAGGAGAATGTCGACTTTCACCGGCGAATGTCGAAATATTTGCTTTATCCGATTTGATAGGTATTAATTCGTTGATATTATTATATTAATTCGATATTTCAATATCTGCTGAGGATAGATTAGGAGAAACTTCAGTGTTTGAAGTACCGGTTAAATGGGTACTGGGCAGTGGCATCTGACCTTAAAAAATATTGATCCAGGGTGTACCGGAAAAATGTATACCGGGCAGTATATATTTTGGACATTTACCAAAGCGACTATGTAATTATCAGCATTCACCGGTGGAAGTCAACAACCACCTATTTCGGTCATTCACAGTAACAGATAATTCATAATTCCCTCCGCCTGTAAACGCCATTTTTCTTTACTACAACTGGCTTCAGTGGTACATGTTACTGCCATCTACCGGCAACTGCTTAAATTAAAACTTGAATACTTTCGGAATAATTTCATATGTTCTTTTTCATCTTCGTTTTTTTACTATAACGCTTCGAAACCCCGGAGGGAATTATGAATAACCCTGTTCTTCAAAGTATTCATATCTGCTAAAAATATTTTCATTTCGTTCATCGTGGTGTGAAATCTTGAAAACTGACTTCATAAAAATAACTGGAAGTTAACTGTATGAAATTTTAAGCAGCCTTGTAAAAATTTCGTCCCCACTTTCTCTCGTTTATGGGTACCTTGTATTTGGTGAGGTATCCTAATGGATATACTGTTAATAATTCCTCGGAAAAAATGGTTAATTAACAATTTATTTAATTGTTATTTTACCATATTCAAACAAAGCAGTCAAGCTACCGTAAATAAGATGGTAATGAAACAGTAAACTGTGAGAAAAACCGTTTATTGACTGCCTTCACCTAATACGGTCAAACAACCAGAATTATATCGCAGTAACTAAGCCCACCTAATGAAGCTGCTCAGCTCCTCACAACAGCGTACGTATTATAGCCGAGAGGGCTAATCTGTCTGTCTCGTGATCGATAGAACTGGGGTTCGTGTCTCAGAGATGAGACCACAAAATTTCCTTCAACAAATGAAGAGTTTCCGGCCTCCTGCACTCTCCAATGTCCATTACCTGACGAAAAGCTAAGCTAATTTTTTTTACGGTTTTAAAACTATTCTAAGTAAACGGCTGAAAAACAGTATAGTTTAATAATAATGATTTTATAACCATAGTAGTTAGAAATGGTTTCAAAACCGTAAAGGTAAAAAGTGTTATTTACTGTAAACTAGATGTACAGACTGCTGCCTGTTATTTTACCACAACTTTAGAATAAAAATACAAACAGTGCGCCTTAGGTCTGAAGGTGGGTAAAAATGCTATCTCAATTGATGTAAGTACTAATTCATTCAGAACACATAATACGATATATTCATATAACAACTGAGCATCGTAAACTATTGTGATTGCTAAATATCAAGAAAATAAAAATTTGAAACTAAGAATGGTAATTTTTAATTCTCCATCAGAGGGGCAAAGGTGCACAAAAGATTAATAATTACATTTTTATAATTTATATTAAAAAAAAATAGACGTTTGACACTACGTAAAAAAATTACATGATACATGCAGTGTTACTTCAATTTCTTTTTAACCTTATGTAGTAGCTAACTCTACAAAATGCCCATTTCTTAAGCGAAATGTCCAACTAGGTTTTTCATAAAGGTATTTTTTAAAACACTATAAAAATAAATTTGAAAGAATATATCCAGACGTAATATTTTTGCTATCATGGTTCCTATACAAAAACATAAATTTAATTTCAGTATTTTAAGCAGATATACAAAAAGTATTTATTAGCATTTGAAGTATAATGTACTTTTGAATTATTTGAAGGAATATACATAAGTAATATTCCATTATTAACGGGACACTATATAAGAAAAATTGACTATATAAGAAAAACACATATTCATATTAAAGGAAGGTTTTGGAAGGCATTTTTTTCAAGTTTATGTTTGAATACATGAATCTTTGTTTTGTAAAATTAATTCAAATTTATTTTCCACACCGCTACATGTAAATTATTTTAAAGTTTATATAAAACGCCATTTCGTATTAAATCTCTCGTGCTAAAGCTCCTAAAATGTTGATACAATTGCCCCATCAATTCTGAAAGCTGTAGTTTTTAACTGTCTACCACTCAAAAAAATCCTTTACAAAAAGTGCAGTTTTTTGGCAACATTAGAATTAATTCATATTGAAATAACCCGCTTTGCGCTCACTTTCTATTTAAAATAAAGAAACTATGACTATTTAAAATAAAATTAATATTGACGGTTTAAAATGAAATATTATTTATAATGACCGGAAAAATTTTAAGAAGTGGTTCATAACGACTGTAAAAGCAATTTTTATTTTACTATCCTTCCTATCAAAATAAAAAATAGATCTAGGTGTTAAATCTGGCCATCATCTTTCCTAAAATTAGAGCGAAATTAAATCATTCGAAAGTTTCAACAGTCTTGAGAAACATTTGTCACTACCTTTTAAATATTTCCCGCTTGTGGCCCCCCGGTTTATCTGATTTCTAGGGGTGCAAGTGCACCCTCTTAAAAAGAACTTCCCCAGCAGGTGCCTTAGCATAAACAGTCTGTGTACTTCGAAATCGAAGAGAATAAATAAAATATAGTAAAACATGTTTGCAAATATTAATGAAAAAACTTCACTTCCATTAGGAAAAAAAAATCTTCCGTAAAAAGAGTTTAAAAAGGTGTTTTGATCTAAAACAATTAATAATTAGTAACTGTTTCCCTTTTATTTGCAAATAAGGTTTACACTTTCAAATAAATAATGAAGAAAAATATTTGTTTACAATTTTAAATTTTTCATGAATAAAAAAAAAAGAGAATAAAAAACTTACCATATTTGTTTTCACTGTACAAAAACAATAATCCAAAATATGCGCACGCATTTGTACACTTTATGCATCAATTATATGAACACCAAACTATCCTAAATCCATTTCTTCTTATTACACCTTGATCGTGAAACAACGGTAAAAGCACTTTCATAGAGCAGACGATTTTCACTAACAGCAGCCAGAAAACCTCTCCGCTCCACTTCCCACTCTGAGCGGAAGTGGCAGAATTAGTCAGGACGTAGTGGCTCCTTTTTTTTCTGTTGTTATTTTTTTTCAAAACTGGATGACATGAGAGAACGGAAGCTTAGAAGCGTATACTATTCCCTTTTTTCCTTCCTAATTCCTGAGTTTTTGTTTATAGTGTTTTGTTTTTGTTTCAATGACACGCGACGACAGACAGTCTATCATAGATTTCTTTTTCTACCTGACCGTTTCGAGTGACGAATGGGGTAATTTTAGTGCTTTATAGGGATTTTTGATTGTTTTTTTCCCACCGCTTCAAATAAGTTATTCCCTAATGTCGTTTCTGGAAATTCTGAGTCAAATCTTTTACCAGCTGTCACGTAAAGGGGGCTTGAACTAATAATGGTTGCGTGTTACAATGAAATTATCAAAAAGTGTCCTAAGGAAATTTTCCGTGAATTGAGCGTTGTTTTATTCATGGTCTTCTTATTCCTAAACGGAAACATTTTATTAGTTTAAGTTATTCTTCTGTACAATCGTGAATATACAGTATGTCAAAACAAAATTGAGAAACTTTAGCAGTACAATGGTGAATATACAGTGAGACTCAACAAAGAAAATTTTAGAGGGAACTATACATTTAGTCCATATCATATATGGCAACGTTACTTTTAAAAAGTAACGAGTAAAAGTACAAGTATTTTTAAAAAAAGTAATGAGTAAAAAGTACAAGTAAAAGTACAAGTACTAAACAAAAAAAGTAACGATTTAAAAGTACATTTCTAGGAAATCGAAAATTCAAAGTAACCTAAAATTTTATTGAATAATATTCTTATGTTCTTTAATGTTTTTGCAAAATTGTTGTTATTTATTTAATTATTTTTAATTTTGAAAGTTATGGATATCAATTCATTTTTAAATTCGGAAGAATATTATAATATAATTTTATAATATAATCGTATAATATAATTTTAAAATCAAATATAATTTTAATATCAAACTTTTTATGGATTTGCACGAAAAAGAAATTTTATCTATTGATTTTATTTAGTTTATTATTTTTATTTATTTAAATTACCATTGATTTAAAATTGTTTTACTCTTTAGAAACGCGTTTTAAAAACATAAACAAAGCAAACACGGGGTTTTAGATAGCTTTGTGATCTTTGAGCTAGTAAAAAATAATTGAATGTGCAGTATAAGTTGAAACCAAAGGTATTTAAACACGAAGTTAGCTGTGAATGCATATATATTGCATTCACAGCTTTTTTCTTTTTTTTCTTTTTTTTTTTCTTTTAAGAAAGCTTACCGAGTTTTAGAAAAAAGAAGAAAGTAACGATTTCATTCGATATTTCCGTTACAAATACTTTTAAATTTTTCCCTAAAAAAGTAACGAAAGTACAAGTAAAAGTACTAAATTTAAAAAATAACGAAGTACAAGTAAAAGTACGTACTTTTTACTTGTACCGGCGGTACAAGTAACGGAAGTAAAAGTACTGCCATGTATGGTCCATATAAAAGAGGAAAATAGTACAGTAACGAATATACCGTATGTTTCGACGAAAAAGGAAAATTTAAATAATACAATAGCGAATGTGCAGTTTTTACCGACAAAGGAAGACAATTTAAGCATTGCAATCGAAAATACGCAGCGTTTCCTAACAAAGAGACAAATTTAAACTGTACATTAGAGAATATTCCTAGTGTGAAAAGAAAACGAAAAAAAATTAAACAGTAATACAATTGTGAGTATACAAGGTGTGCCAAAAATTACAAAGTTAAACAAAATCGTGAGAGTTTTCATTGGGTCTTAACTTAGCAGGAAAACTAAAATTATACAATCGCGATTACACAGTGTGCTCCAACAAAAGAAAAAAATTTAGCTGCTAATAAAATACCTTTTTTTTTAAACTTTTTTTCCCTTTAATGTCGGAATTTATTTTGAGAGATAAATTTTTTTTAATAATAATTAATAACAATTATTTAACACGTTGAATGCCAGGCTAATTTTACATGGCTTGCCCGTCTGCCCAAACGGTAAATAACTACAAACTAAATTTGCACACATTAGACAGATTTTGATAGTTTTTTAAAAGATTTAGCATGACTCATCGATAAATAATGGTGAATTATATGAGCCTAGGAATTGTTTCGCAATAGAGGTGGATAAAAATCTTCTAAATTAAATTTATTAAACCAAGAATCATAATTAATAAACTACCACTTGAAAATGTTTATTCGCTGTCCGGAGCAAGTTGGCATCTCTGTGTATATAAATAAAACTATTTTTGTGTGTTCTATATTGCATTAATTTCTTCAAACCATTTTAGCAACGATAATAAAAAAATTAAACATTTACTCGAGTCGGTCACCGGTGAACCCCCATGACATTCAACGTGTTAATATAGTAACTAGCTTGATTAGCTGAAAATTACAACTACGTAGCATTTTTTTATTTATTTATTATTATTTAGGTGACGTTGAACTGTCGTCCCAGTTCTGATTTAACGACTGTCTATACTCTTTTTGATAAAACTAACCAGCGTTTGCGTTACATGGAGAGGCAAACCACGAAAATCTCCAATGGTTTGCCCTTATGACAAGGGGACTCTAATCCATGATCAGCTTACCGCTAAGGATATTTTACGTCACCACTGAGTTTCGTGCAAGCCGGAAGCGGAATTCGTATTGACCAGCCACCGCTGGAATTCGAACCTGGGGAACATCTGTGGGAGGCGAATGCTTAATCTCTTGGGCCACTTCGGGAAATTTTGAGCCCAACACGGAAGACAAAGGAACTCTCTGACAAACTCGCCTACATAGAGGATTTTTTTTATTAAGACTATTAAGTTCTGTGGAGAAGAAAATCACAAAAGCTTCTCATGGCCAGCCTGATGAATTCTGGCTAGAGAGCTATTTGCCATTTTTGTAAACAATGTGGTTGATGTAAGTTAGGAACATTTTACAGATCCACTAGTCGTCTACTTTTATTTTTGTTAATCTACTTTCATTTAGTTCAGTAAGTTTAGTTAATTCATTATATTTTATTTTAGTTTAGTTATTTCAGTTATTTAGATGATAATTCTAGTTATTTATGTTAAGTTCATAGCTGCCAACTCTTCCGGATTTTCCGGAAGATTTTATTTTCATATTTAAAGTGGTAGCACGACTCATGTTATTCCAATTAACTTTTTGAATTATAAGGATAATTATAAAAATGTTTGACAACCACTACATATAAATAATTACAATAAATATATAAAAGCATAATAATACATACAAAAGCGAATTTCAATGTGGTCAAAATATAAATATATTTTTGAGTCAGAATGTTTTTCGTTCATTGTTATACTACCACTTGGAAAATCCATTCTCGGAAAGAGTGAAAGTTGGCAGGTATGTAAGTTAATCAATTATGTTTAATTAATACCTTTATTTTAGTTAGTGCTTTTATCATATTTCAGTTAATACTTTTATTTTAGTTTAGTTAGTTTTAGTTTATGTAAATTTTATTTAGTTATTTTTATCTGGTTAATTTTATTTAGTTTTTAATTCAGTTCTTCAAGTTTTAGTTTTAGTTAAATTTATTTTACTTAGTTAAGTTTTGTCTATTTTTAATTATTTTAGTAAACATTAAGTAATTATTTAGTTTACAGTTAATAAAAGTCGTCTATTTACATTTAGTATAGTAAGTTAATTCAATTCATGGCTAAGTTCAATTCATGATAAGTTTTTTAATTGGTAAGTTTAATTATTTTAGTTTAATAATATGGACTGGCTGTTAACAAGAAGATCCATATCAGATGTTTGATTATCAATGTTCACCTGATCCCTATCATTTTTATAATTATCAATGTTCACCCGATCTATATCTGATTTTATGTTATTATTGTTCACTTAGGTAGCGTAGTAATCAAGGAAGTGAAATGGTTGTCAGCAAATTGGAGTTTTTTTTTTGTTTTTTTTTTTAGTTTGAAATTTGTTTGATTTCTAAACACAGTTGGTGTAAAGTTATATCTTATACATTAAAAGAAGAAATAAAAATTTTGATCTGATGAAAACTATTTAGACGAATAGTTATAAGAAATAAGTGAACAAATATACTGCTCACATCAATTGAGTGTTCTGATACCTAGTTAACCCTTCCAAAGGCCATGGGAAGTATACTTCCCACCACTTTTAATTCAGGTTTCCATTTGTTAATAACTTCAGCTTTCTTGAAGTGCGTTTGAAGTGCGTTTTTCTTGAAGTGCACTTTTTTTAGACAAACAATTGCATATTTTTATTACATTCGAATTAACGTGCAAAAATAATTCCTGAAACCAAATTTTATCAAATTCTGACATTTTAAAATAAGAGGGGGGGGTGACCGCGGAGACAAATAAACATTTAGCAAAAAATATGGAATGTCGCCAATTTGTGGCATTAGTAGAACAGACTTGGGTAAAGCATCGTTTTGGAATTGTTCCTTCCTTCCTTTATTAAATAAAACTGGGCAACCTGAGCCGCGCAGCGCCCCTTATCCCATTCACCTTGAAAATATGTACAAATTGAGTTACAGACATTTTGTGCTTAGCAACATTGTGGTAGCTAATACAAGAGTCAAGTTCTTTGTTTGATAAATTAAACATCTGTAGTTTTGAAAAAGTGCTAACAATTTGAATTTAGTCAGTATGTATAGACATGATTTGAGAAATATACATTAATTGTCATAGATATATAAATAGTACAATTGATATTTGAGCATTGAATAAAATTGAACATGTTGATAAATAAGTACAAACATACATCGTAATATATAAACATGAATTGAAATATAAGCATTTACTGAAATTTTGGCGAGCTTTAGTGGCGCCATCTAGAGGTTAACGTAAGCAACTTTAATTTGATTGGACTGAATTAATTTCTAAACATGTTTAATTAAGCAGTGTATTAAAGGTCTAAGAATTAGAGTTCAATGTTATAATAAAAGGGCCGGAATTGGGCAATAAATTGTCAGTCTGCTGTGAAAAATTCAGTGAATTTAACTTTAGAGTCTTGAAAAT